GGTGCAAATTACTGACCTCTGTCATCATTTTAAGTGGGGGAACTTGCACAATCGGTGGCTGACTAAATACTTTTTTGCCCCACTGTATATACAGTAACAATCCCTTATTTATTACATAACATTTTTAGAACATATTTACAATTTCACACTGAGAGCAAAAAAACAAAACAATGTATGTGTAGACATACTTAGTCAATAAAGTTGATTTTCATAATAAAGATGTTTTTATATGCTTACATCCAAAGCCCTAGTGAACCCTCTGGTCTGTCAGAACGTCCACAAAGATTACACATAACTGCTTTAGTAGCTCACAGTAAGCACCAAAAGAACCGCAACCTCCCATATTAAACTCAGCTATGGCTCTGGTATTGCGGACAGACTTTCTTCGGCTTCACCAATCTAATTCAATTCTATTGATATAGCACCAATTCACAACAAGTCACCTCAAGGCTCTAGTGGCAGCCATCCACCAGCTGGAGGTGAAAAAAGATGTTGACAACACAGAAAGTAAGTAATTACCTTAAAGATCCCTGATATGGATAAGGTGAGGCTGGAGGTTCGGGAGACCAGCAGGAACTCAGAGAAGCCCAAACCAAAGGCCAGCGAGCCGCCAATGCTTAACGTGAAGAGGGAATACAGGAGAGGCGAGAGCTCCGTCACCCGGAATAACTTCTCTGAGGTGCTGAGGCTCAGCCCTGCAGGCACAGAGGAAAGAATCAGGACAGATTTTTTTAGGAGTGGCAGCACTCCAGGTAGATCGGCAATTACGCAGTTACAATAGTTTTCCACGGACTGCTTATAGGGCTTGCCCACTCATGTCTTTTGAAAGTCCAATATCATGTAGAGATTTTATAAAGGAGTTCCTTTTTGTTCTTCTTCAAGCTCTTCTGCTTGAATCAGCAGTGTTTTATTTGTAGATTACAGCTCTGGTGTGCAATGTTACGTGCTTGACTGTGGCACAAAAGCAGAGGCCCTCTGTCACTGAGCTACATCTGGACTGATGTGCTCATGCGAGTCCCCTCAGTAAGGCTGCCCTTCGTATCGAGCTGAAATCAGTCCCACTCTTTAAACACAGCTCTATTACCACAGTCAGGGCAGATTATTCACATGGACGCCACCTCATGCTCAGAACGGCCAAAAATCATATCATTCAGTTGACTCTGATAAGTCAGCTGAATGATACCAGCTGGCTGAAATACACCTCTGTGATGCAGTGCATTTACATTACACTGCATCAGTGATGTGATTTTTTTCACCATTCAAAATAATTAAATGTAATGTTTCTTAAGAACAGTGAGAACACTTCTCATAAATTCCATTTCATAAATTATAAAGAATTTGAGATATCATTTATCTGAAGTGAAGGCAGCTGGACCACACCTCAAACAATCCCCTTCCACTCCAACGTCCACAAATGCATACTTGTCCCACACACTTGTTTGTTCTTGTTCCTGTGCCCCATCGTCTCACTCCCGTGTCATCTCTGATCTGCCAGGCCACGATGAACCGCGAGGAGAGAGAAGACGAGGCAACAGGAGTTTAACAAAATGCGAGATTCTTGCAGCCTTTAAAGCAGTGTCAGTGAAAAGAACTGTGGCTACATTACTGGACCAGTTTTTTGCTTTTAATTACATACACAGTGTGGCATAATGTGACGCATGGATCTCTGCCTTTGTTTATTATGTCATACGTTTTAGGAATTGAGACGGACTTCAAGACTCTGCACTGCAACTGATGTACAGGTGGGAGTACAGAGGAGAGACGTTACAAGGGAGCTCAAAGCAGAGAAATGAGAAGAGCTCGTAGGGTGCTACAGCATATTTGCAATTTCAACACACTGGCCGTTGTGTTGTGCTGAAACCAATCAGGTCTGTGTTCTAAATTTCACAACTTTTCACACTTTGGTTCTTGGGCCTGCCACAGAGTCCAGTAGCAGAAGGAAAAGAAACACTGTGGGTGCCCATTAATCAAGCACCTGCTACAGGGCTTTGATAATCCTCCACTTTCTGCAGCTGAGCTGAACCCCTGAGAAACTACTGCTAATCTATTACACATGTGAGCTATTGCCTATTTACATGTAAATGAGGTGTGGGTGTCAGAATAGGCACCGTGTTGACACATAATCAGTTTCTTATGACCATCACACTGCACAGTGGGGTCTGTAAAGGACTTGAAATGCCATAATTAGGGGCTACAAAAGCTCACACAATTCAAATTAGAACAACGATTAAGGGATTTAGAAAAAAAAAAAACAGCATACAGATTTGGGTGCCGACTTGGCTGAAAGCATTAAAGATGTAAGAAAACAACTAAGCGATCTGTCTATGGAGGAAATAGAATAGAACCTGAGATTCACAAAACAAACATTTTATGACTCTGGTTCCAAAGCAACCAAAATACTGGCTAAACAGTTAAAATCAATACAAATAAGTAATACAGTTAATAAGATTAGAGATCCAAACACCAAGGAACTACTATTTGAACCAACACAGATAAAAAAAAAACCGCCTTTCAAAAATACTATAAAACATTGTTTAATCAACCCGACCAGAAAAACAGACAAGAAATTGAAGAGTACTTGACTCAGTTAGACCTTCCTTCTATTGGGACAACTCAAAATGAATTTTTAACTAAACCCATCACTAAGGAAGAACTGGATAAGGCAATAAGGAGATTGAAATCTAATTAAAGTCCAGGAAGTGATGGGTATCCCAATGAGTGGTATAAGACTTTTAAAAAGGACTTGGCTCCTATTTTGATAGATTCTTTTAACTGGACATTAAAACACACTAAAATTCCACCCTCTTGGAAAGAGGCGATTATATCAGTCTTACCAAAAGAAGGTAAAAACAAGGAAAACTGTGACTCTTATTGCCCAATCTCTATCTTAAATGTGGATTATAAATTATTTACATCCATAATCACAAGACGCTTAGAGCTGTTTCTCCCAGATCTGGTGGTTGAAGACCAGACAGGATTCATTAAGGGGGCGACAGACACAAGATAACATATGACGCACATTGCATATAATTAACGAAGTTAATAAAGAGAAAATCCCAACAGCCTTAGTGAGCTTAGATGCTGAAAAGGCCTTTGATAGAGTCTCCTGGATATTTCTTTTTGCTGTTTTGGACTAAAATAAGATCAAATATTTAGGTGTCTAACTAACTAGCGAAATAAGTACACTATACGAGGCAAATTATGTAAAGATTAGTAATACAATCCAAAAAGATTTGATTATATGGGCTCCACTTGTCATGGACCTTAGCTCAAGAATAGAGGTAATAAAAATGAATGTTCTTCCTCGACTACTGTATCTATTCACTTCATTGCCAGTCCATATACCTGATGCACAATTTGGTAGATGGGATAAATTAGTTAGTAGATTTATTTGGAAAGGGACAAAGCCAAGAATAAGATTTAAAATACTCCAATTAAGAAAAGAAAAAGGAGGACTTGCCCTCCCAAATTTCAAGGAATATTGTTTACTGGTGTTCACCGGATTACACCTCAAAATGGAAGCATATGCAGATAAAGTATTGCTCATCATATCATCCACAAGCAAGATTGGGAGAAGAAACTATACAGTCTACGAACACAAATCTCATTACTGAATTCACTATTAAACCCTGGTGAATTATAGTGAAGAAATATAGAATTATAGAAGACTGTAAATTGCTGATTTGGCCTGCATATTCTC